GTACTTACTTATTAAATTGATTTACAAAAAATTTACAAAAAAAGGCCACATAAAAACGTTTTTTTTATGATAACCACATTTGACGCAAAATCTAAGTAAAGGAATAAGTTTTGAATTTCGAAACTTCATAATTGCCATTAAATAAGGGGCGTCATTTCAGGTTTTTGTTTTAGGTGTGCGAGGTTCCAAGTATGCCATTTTGAAATTTTACTAGACCTTATAAAATTAGATTTTTGTATATTATATGCACATAATCCTACTTTCAATTATTTCCATGCAGGGCATACACCGAATTATTTCATCAATATAAATAAAGAAAATCAAATTAAAAATTAAAATATAATGAATAATTAACAATCATAATAATTGACAGTGTACCAAAGTCTATAAATGTCAAAATAAAAATAAAAATGCTAATTAAGAAGATTTAATTTTGTATATTATCTCAGCAGGGTGTAAGCAATTAGTACTATTTTAAAAGTAAAGTATGCGACCCTCCACTCTGATTTCCCCCTCTCAAATTATGTCCCTAGTTTTACGTATTATAACCGGCTTAAATGACATAAATTTGACAATCATTAATATTTCAGTTTAAATTAGTTTGATCTTTGAGTATTTAATTAATCTTGTATAAAATTATTATAAAATCAAAATTTGTTAAATCATATTTTTGTAGGAAGTAAATATTTACCATACTTCAGTAATTATTTCACATTATCGAATCATATTAACACTATTAAATATAAATTAACATTAAGTAAAAATCATCATGTGATTTTATAATTTATTAATTATAATTCATTTTTTTAGTGTCGTATGGTATGTTCAATGGACTGCAGTAGATTGGGAAAATACCTAATACTTATCGTTGTTTATTCGATTTTTCATAAGTAAACAAAACTTTATGAAGTTGTAAGTATATTATCAGAATAATTGGGTTTATTCTAATGGAATTATAATGTGGATGTGCGATGTAATATTGTAATTATTATTTATTTCTAGCAAATTCCTATTGAAAATATAATTTTAATTATTTATTTAAGGTTGATGTTATAGCAGTTAATTTTTCACAGTTTGTGGGTATTTGCTATTTGGACTCATTATTTAGTTATATTTACCTCCAATATACTTTGTAATAAAGAATATTAATATTATAGCAGCTAAAATTGATAAATTATTTAAAGAAATATTATATAATAATTAGAATATAAGTAATTCATATATAAATATGCTTTTTTTAAAAATTATTCAATTGCATTTCACTGTAAAACATTGCACATATTGTTACTAATTAATGTATTTTATATGTTGCAATGTTGCATTTAATTTTTAATTTTATTATAATGTTTTCCTTTACTTTACTTGTTATCCCGTATCTTGACTTGATATATTATACTGAAAACAAAATATGTGATATGCCATTATGGATTATCTTGAAGTTTTGAGTTTTAATATTTGTAGTAATTTAATCAACTTTTTTCATTTATCTACGGTTCAACTATTAAAAAAAAAAAAGTGCAGTACATGATGCATTATTTTAAAATAAAAGTACGTTATGACGATACACACTATGTGGCCTCTAAAGTAAAATTTGAATGTTGAAGAAGTTGGATATTGTAAACAGTTTCACATTTTTAAGAACATAGTAAAAACTATATCGATATATATATTTATTATTTTAATTATTATTTTGTGGTGATTTAAAATTACGAAAAAAAAATTATTTTTAAAAAATTTTTAATGAAAGTATAGTGTTTATTATTGATTCTATAAAGAATTTCAGCGTGCATAGATAAGTTGAATAAAATAATTGAGAATTATCCATCTAATCCATGTTGTAGGTACAGTAAGTAAAAATCTAAATGTTCATCTAGCAAAGACAATATCTATATAAAAATACTCAACAATGAATAAAATATTCTCGAAATAATAATATTTGTATTATAATTGGAAAAATGTAAAAAAGAATATTGCCTATTTTAAATTTTAAACTTTGACCCAAATTTATACTTTGACTCATGGTTTGCCATCCTGTAACTATTGATGCATGTAAATTCTAAAACATCTCATTTATAATAATAAATACATAAAAATCACTTATTTCGTGTTTCGATGAAAGCAGTTGAAACAGTAGGTATTTTTGTTGATTGTAGTTAACTGACTGTTAATGTTTCAACATTGTACACTAAAAAATCTAATATAACGTAACATAATAGATAGATGGTAATCTACGTTAATATTATTTTATATTAATATTTTATTCAAAATTGTTATCTGTAAAATTATAAAAATTTATATCATAACTATGAATAGGTAATAATAAAAATAAGTTTTGGTTTATCTTTGAAGATAGGTGACCTATATATTATTACTATAGTATTTACCTATAAACGTGCACCTATTATTTGATAATATATAATAGCTTTAAATGTATACCGGAGAGCTCACTTATGCTATTTAGTAGATCTGAATTCTAAAATAAACTATTACACAGATATGTAAAAACGATTTTAAGTGAAGGCACCAGATGACTTGAATTTAAAATTTTTATAGGTAGGTAAATATTTTATTTATTGAATAAAACTTATATTTTTGATATTTCTTATTTATTTTAAAAAAACTTGCGAAGAACATAGTATTGTATTATATTTTCATGTACCTATTAATATATTGGGAATAAATTTAAAAAAACATTATTTGTATGCATTTTTTATACATAAATAATAATAAGTAGTTTGAAATTTTTTGAATATTTTGAAAATTACATTGTTTATACATAGAAAATAATTATAAAAGCGTGTACTGTTGGAAAGTTTCAAAACTTCACTGTTACAATTTTTAATAATAAAAATTACTTATAATAATTTGATATATATAGTTATTTTTTGTTTAGATATCAAATTTTGAAACGCTCATAAAACCATAAGTATATTTACGCTAAACATTTTTAATTCCAATGAAAATAAATGAATTGAATATTTTTATTCAATTTTTAAGACTTGTGAAGCCAGGTAGATATTTAAATTGGAAACGTTATGAATTTTTCATACAAAATAATTTGCAAATTTTTGTGATTTTAAATATCCATAAATTAAAAAAAAAGAAAATAATAACGTTTTTCGAGTGAAGCAGGAAATTTATTTTAATATAATGTTTAAGCGTTTTAATTTGTTAGCTTTTCTCTAATAATAGTTGTAATGGATTTCCGTCTAAATATATTTTACACGCTGTATAAAATATTTGTTTCAGCAGTCATTTGTTTTTCAAATCATTGTAAAAAGACTTAGCGTGAACGGAGTCGTTACCGTTTTAGAGTACCTTTTACTTTTAGCCGCGGTCGGATTTTGCCGATTTTAGCTCAAAAATCAAATATTATAAATTATTTTAGGTAAATATACATTTTTGCTAAAAGCCTAGAGTTTAAAAGCTCAATTTTAAAAATGTGACGTTACAATAGTATAAGTATAGTGTATGGGTTTAGGTGTAATATCATAATAACGCGATGTGGGGACTTCGTGAATTACTTGAGGTTCTATGACGATGCGTGATGCAGAGTTTGTACCTTATCGCCACTATTCTCGGGGTTCAGCAGTTGGACGGTCGTCGGAGATAAGACGCGTTTACAATAATGTACTATGTATAAATATATAATAATATACGATAAAAATTTGAACCTAGTTATTATACAGTACGAAAACCACGTAATGATTTATTATACCGTTGTATATCGATGAACATAAAATATATTATAATCATATGATGTTGGTCAGTTATAATTCGGTTAGCATTAATGCCAATCATAGACAGACAGTTGAAGTATACTTGTATACTTTTGCTTCTCGCGGAAAGGTATACATTAACATATTAATAATATTAAACAGTATAACGCGCTATATTCACGTTTAGCGTGTACACAATAATACGTAATACGTTCTGCCAAAACAATGTGACAACGACAGTGAACTTGTGCGTATAGCGAATTTCATATTATTTATTTTGTGACAATAGTATTGAATTTCTCGTTGTTTTTTTTACCCATTATGTGCGCGTTAACTTCAGTAAGTCCGCCATTGTAACATAATCACATCATATTATAATTATCGATAGAGTTTTATAATAAATATAATATTTATAGCGTATTATTATTATTGCAGTAATATTAAATTATGTTATTATTATCATCGTCAACCGCCGGAAAGTTTTTGAGTACAGTAAAAACCTTGTATTATTGTATCTATACCGAGAACGTCGTCATAAAAATATAAAGTTCCAATAACGGGACGTGTGTCGTTCGTAATAATTGCAAACAAACGGCGGAGTTTTGAGTATTACAGCAGTCGTTAATTGCTACCGACGGGGATGACGACAGTCGTTTGTCATACACACACACACATCGCATTTAAGGATATTACGAGAAAACCGTCGAACGCGTAGCGAGCTCTATGAAAATCGTGACAAAACTTTTCCGTTTCGATTTATTCGAACACCATTATAATATAAATATATCGATAACTAATTAGAGGATAAAAAAAATTAAATAAAATTTAAAACGAGTGTATGTGTACTCGTCGAGAAATCGATTTGAGAGAAAAAAAAAACCAATACGTAATACCCTCCAAAAAAGTTGCAGTTAGAGACAGCTAGTGACGTCCGCGCGGGAGGAGGGGGCGAGGTGCAGCACCTGCAAGTGCACGAGCTCAATAATATAATTATCGCGTACGACAACAATGTCATCGATAACCATATTATAACATATAATACCATACCTGCGTCCCGACGATAATAATAATAATAATAATAATAATAATGATAATAATTTTAATAACGATAATGATAATTATTATTGTCAATACGTCGTGATACACGCGTGGATTAATAGAGGTGGTCGTAAAACGTTGTTGTCGTTACGTATAATAATACGTCGCTCGGGCGGGAAGGGTTCGGGGGCAGCGGCGGCGGCGTCGGCGGCGGGGAGATAGCGCGCCGGTCGACACGCGCGCGGAACGCGACCGGCCGCGCAGAACCCGACCGCGATCCGATGGAGCTGGCCGTGGCGAACGAGACCGCGTCGTCGTCGCCCGCGACGTCGGTGCTTCAGACCCAGTCCGGCGGCCGTCCGCAGATCCCCGGCGTGCAGATGGGTGTCACCGGGCTGTACGTGGTCGGCATATTCGGCAACCTGCTGGCGCTGTTCATACTGCACAGGACCCGGTCGAGCAGCAACCAGAAGCACGGGTTCATGTTGCGGTGCCTGGCCACCAACGATTGCATCGCGCTGGCCGGCATGCTCATCCAGATGGTGGTCGGCGTCAGATGGCCGGGCACCAAGTACAACGTGTGGTCGTGCCGGATCCGCGTCCTGTGGCGGTTCTTCGGGCTGGGCTCCGGGTGCGTGGCCATCGTGATGGCCGTCGAACGCTGGCTGGCGCTCACCAAACCGTTTTTTTACCAAAAGGTGCGTACCCGCATGTGTATACCTGTTGCTGCCGCTGCTTGTGCACGCGTATAACCACCGCGCCTGTACGGTCTGGTTTATACGTAACATAATATAGGTGGGAGCTTGGTAATCGCGTCCCGTACTATCCACCCCTTACCGTCCGTCATGTCTACACGCGTCACTCCCTTATAATAATAAGTAGGTGCGTGCCGGCTCGAAACGGGAGTTTTTGATAAATTTAACGATTTAATGGGATTAATTTAAAAGAACGAGCTAGACTTGTGTACAGAGCTTGTACGAACACCAATTTGAAAATACACCGAACAGACTACAAAACGTACATTATAATACTAAATAAATATTAAAATATGTACGATTTTTAAAATGTGATTTCGAAATTTCATACAAATTTCCTATTATTATTCTCGATTTTTTAAAATCGACGCATAACGGTGAACGGTCCTAGCTGCAGTTTCATAAATACGTTATATTATAAGAACTGTTGAAGAGTTCTAATTTATAGTCCCTACCAAAGACACGTAATATTTTCATTCGGTGTCCATTTGCTAAATTACGTTTCTACCGCTTACAGTTATTTTAATTTTTAAAAAGGTCCAAAGTATTCGATATGTTATTGTTTCAGAAAAAAATTAAAACCAACTTTATTGGGTTTCTTTCGAATAATGGTCATTATCTCGTTAGTGACATTACGTATCGGCAAAAAAAGAAATATTGAGATTTTAATAAAATTGACAATAAACTTTTGTAATTGAGCAACCGTAGTCCATGATAATATTAGTTTACTTATTGAAAATTTTTAAATACAATTCTCAATAGTAGGTACCTAGGTAGTTGGTTATTTTGTTTATTTTTGTCAAAATGTAACGTAGTGAATAGTAGCTACTAGCAGGTGACTTATTAAATCAAGAGGTCAATGATTTGATGGTTTTAATTTTCAATTTACTTATAGATACTCATAAAGTTATATCATAAATTTACAATTTTCTTCAGTGCTGAAATAGTCAGTATATTGATTTTTAAAAATCCAAATATCTAAGAAGTATACATAATATAATATGTTACGTATAATTAACGTAACATATTATATTTAATCGTATTTAATTTGTTGATTTAGAATCACGATCAGTTTTGGCTGTCTAATCTTATTTACTTGATTAATTTGGTTAAATACGAAGAACAAGTGAGTGCAAATTGGTACCGCTAATATATATTATTATTTCGACCGTATATTATACTTACTATGGCTGGGTCAAGCTTAATAAACACTGAATAAGCTTAGTACATGATAATATTGAATAATATGCACAAGGTTTTTGCATTTTTGCATTTGTGACAGCAAATTTAATATCATAAAAATGAATGAATCTCATTTGGACCAATTTCATACTACACATATGAATTCCATGAACATATTAAAATTTATTATACCTATTATTATATTAATAATATAATGCGGTGAACGGTGTTGTGTACGAATCGTGTTTTTGTATTATTATATTTGGGACGCGCGACGCGTGATAACAAAGACAGACTTACACACGTTGGTTATCAGGATGCAAACAAGTCGTTTCGAAGCGTCATAACTGAGCAATGAAATAAAATTGTAATCAAAAATACATTATTATACAATTACACGTGCAGCGTATTATTGGTTTATTTTCTTCATAATTCGTAAATTGGCAAGGTTCTTTAATAATTGAATTTCAGTTTTATTTGTCGATACCTCCAGCAAATGTTTTAGATTTAAATATCGGGTTATTTTGTGGTCATTGAAAATAATCTCGTTTTTAAATAAATATCTATTTTGACTTTGCATATTTTCAAGTAGTGATTTGAGCTATTTAAACCCGCTAACTTTAAATATTGTTTAAAGTTTAAAGGGCTAAATTAGATACCTAATTTTTATCTAATCGAATAATTATTTATTGACGTATCCCTTTGACTGAACTTACCTGTTCATGATTAAATAGTCATAATGAAATCTTTGTCAAATTTTGTTTTTATTTTCGATTGATTTTTGTATGCACGTGTTTTTTTCAAAACTAATCGCACGATCGTGCGGTCTGATAAAATTGTTTATTTAAATAATGAAAGCTTATTAAATTCGTAAGTGTATTAACAAACAACGAATTTATACTAAAACGTGAAAAGGTAAAATATAATTTTTATTATAGTTTGAAATGAATTTCGTGCGAAAAAATTGTTCATTATTTGTTAGTTTTATTATACTTGATGTCGTTCAATTTTATTCCGTAAGACTTGCCATAAATTTTATTCGTTCTCCGATCAATAATGCTTTGCAAAAATATTTTTGCTAAATTCTCGGTTATAAAAAAATTAATAAAAATTCGCAAAATTCGCATAAGCGTGAAATGTTTAGTTTAATGCGTTGAACAAATAACGATGTAATTATTATAATGAATTGTAAAGATATAAAATTTAATATTTATAGAACTTGAAACATTAATACCAATAATTATAGGGCATAATATAATATTAATAAACTATAATTTAATTTATTATTTAAATTTTTTTTGAATAATTTAATATCTCACTAAATATGTATGAAAATTACAGTATTATATAAATACATTTTTATACTTTCTTATTTGAATTAATTATTTGAAGAAAATATAAAAAACTTTTATATTATTTTAAGAAATTGAGATATTAGTATATATATATACTATGTTTAAATCTCTATGTTACTCGAATAAGAGTTGATATAGGTACAAGAAACTATGACTTATAGTTATTAGTTGTATATTGTGTGTTAAAATTATGTAAAACTGAGATAAGTAGTTAAATTGTTAATAGTTATGTATTCATGTTTTACTTCAAGATAGTTTTGTAAAAATTATCTAATTTCGAATTGAAATTTTAATTGACTGTAACTAATAGAAATTATAAATCACATACATAATATACTTTTGTAGGCTTTTTAAAATTTTTTAGCTTTAAATATGAGGCAATTATTTTAATTAAGCTATTTTCTTAAGGTTTGGTATTTTTTATAATATGTGTCATAAGACTATAGTAAGAATAAATTTTCATAACTTAAGAGCTGCCAATAATAAATAGCAAAATACTATTATCATTCATTAATCAATTATCTATCATTATTTATTAAAACAAATGTTAATGCAAAAAAAGTATGCTGTACTTAATGTGGTAATGTGATGCTATATTAGTTTCCTCTCTAGTAATTTATTGTAATTCGAACAAAAAATAAAATCGCATGTTTTTATGTCATTTATATGCCAATTTGGTTAATAACATTCAATAATGTAATAATGTGATCTTATTTGTTATTTTTTTAATATTTTTATCGGCTTATTCAGGCATATTGGTGAATCTATACCTTTTAAATTAACTTTAGGTTATAAACTTATAATATACATAATAATAATATAATATAAATAAATGTAAATGAAAACTCAAAATTAAAAAAATTGTGTTCAATATGATATATTAAATAGAAAAAAATAATTGTTTTTTAAAATATCTATAAACAATATTATCGTATAATTCTAAAAAATTGTTTTTAATTTTTAATTTTATCGTTTTATATATAGAGATATTGTTCATATTTTTTCAATAGTTAGGTTCTTAAACATTATAAAGTTTCAAATAAATTGTTGTAGTTAAATTACCATTAGCTTATATAATATTATTTAAAATTAAGTATATATTATAAATAATGTTTTTTAACTAATAAGTATCTAATGAAATTACTTAAATGATTAAATTTATTTTTTCCTATTTTTAGTGGCTATACCTAAAATGTAAAAAGTAATAGTGTAAATCTTTCAGAAATTATTGACTTGTATAAGACGTAATTATGGGTTTTTTTATTTATATTTTCTTAGCAAAATAAATTGCATGTTTATGTTATTTCTTTTGAAAAAAAAAAACTTTATTATTAAGGACCTTTCAATAAGTATATTTTTAAGATGTCTGAGATTAAGGCGAGCTTTGGTCAAAAGAATAAGTGTATACGAGTATACACAAACTTAAGTAAATAATTTATTATAATTTTGAATCACTATCATTATATATTTACAAAAGTTAATCTAACCTAATATGGGTTATGATGAAAACTAAACATTATTACATGATATAATTGTATTACGCCACAATAGCAAAATTTTGGTTAATTTAGCATAATAACAATATTTATTTTGATACGTATTTAAATAACATAATATTATAACATTATTTAGTAACATATAGTGAAAAAAAGAGTAGTAACAAATTAATATAATTTAGTTAATTGATATGATAGAACAATAATTTTCAACAATGTTGATAAGTTAAGACAACTGTTTGGTATATTATGAATATTTATGATTTACATTACACATAAATAATTAAAAATAATGGTTATGACTATTATCTATTAATATAATATTGTTACAGCCATAAAGATCAATCTAAATAAAAAAAAAAAAAAAATTGAACGGTAATAACTAACGTGTATTGATAGATAAAATCAAAAATGTAATTATAGTAAAATTTTATTTTACTTAATATTAGCTTTAAAATAATATTTATCTTATTTTTTGGTTTTTTCGAGATTATATAGATATTTTCAATGAAATAGAAATAATATCGATTTTTTGAAATCATATTTTTTTTATACTTATTATTTCTACTGAGTTTAGTAGGTATATTATCAATATTATTGATGCAATGTAGTTGCTATTTTTTATTAAATTCCAAGTGTGTTTACCAAATACCTGATCAATCAGATGTAAAACTATTACATATTAAGTTATTTGAGCTTAATAATTTTATTAATTAATACATATAGAATATAAATTCTTTACAATTAAAAAAAAGAAAACGTATTTATCACGCTCAATATTCTCAAGTGAATTGAATTAAATATGATATTATGTATACAGCATGTAAAATATAGTTATACACAGTTTCATATGTTTTAAAAATACAATTATATAAATAAATCACAGCAATCATCATGTACATTTATATTT